AAATGTAAATTTTAGAAATCAAAAATACAATAACCAAATTTTAAAAATGAATGAGTTTAATAAGAGAATGGAAGAGACAGAAGAAAGAATTGGTGAACTGGAAGACAGAATAATTGAAAGTACTTTATATGAACAACAGAGAGAAAAAAGGCCAAAAAAAAAATTAACAAAGACTCAGGGACCTTTGGCACTGTAAGAGAAGGTCTAACACTCATGTTCTTCGAATCCTAAAAAGAGAGGTGAAGAAAGCTGAGCTGAAGGAGCAACTGAAGAAATAATGGCTGAAAAGTTTTCAGATTTGGCAAGACATAAAACTACAGCTCCAAGAGACTGAGTAAACACTAAACAAGATGAACCCAAAGAAATCCATGCAAAGACTCATAGCTGAACTTTTGAAAACTAAAAACAAAGAAAATGTCTTAAAACAGAGAGAAATGACAACTTATCTAAAATGAAAAACCAATTCCAATGACAGCAGATTTCTTATTAGAAACCATGGAGACCATGAGGAAGGAGCAAAATATAGACCGTGGGGAAGTAGCGAAATATATTTCATGTGAAGAAACAAACTGTCAACACACAATCCTAAATTGAGTGAAAATGTCCTTTCAGAATGAAAGGGAGACAGAAAGTAGAATGGTGGTTGCCAAGAGCTGGGGGTGGTGGTGAAAATGGGGAGTTACAGTTTAATGGGCATAAGATTTCAGTTTTTCAATATGAAAAGAGTTATGGAAATACGTAGTGATGATGGTCTCACAGCTTTATGAATGTATGCAGTACCACTCAACTGTGCACTTAAAAAAATGGTTCAGGTGATAATTTTATGTTACATGTATCTTACCACAATTTTTTAAAATTGGAAAAAAAAGAATAAAGGGGAAATAAAAACACTTTTTGATTAAAGAAAACTGAGCATGTCTGTCACTGGCAGACTTATTCCAAAGCTAAAGGAAGTTCTCTAAACAAGAGGCAACTATACAAGAAAAAACTTTGAAACATTGGAAGAAAAAAAAGAGCACAAAAACAAAAAATAAAAATAAAAGGCAGTGGCTTCCAGTCAAGATGGTGAAATAGACAGTCCCCAGCTTCACTCTCTCCCACAAATCAACCAATTTACAACTATTAAAAAGTAATGACCGGGCCGGCCCGGTGGCACACTGGATAAGTGCGCCGCTTGGGAAGCGCGGCGGCGCTCCCGCCCGAGGGTTCGGATCCCACATGCAGACCGGTTCCCGCTCACTGGCTGAGCGAGGCGCGGGAGC